TCGCGTGGAATGGTAATATGTTGTCCACTGGTAGTTCGGATCGTTTCATTTTTCACAGGGATCCAAGGAGTCCTCGTGACATTTTTCGCGTTCTAACGGGACACAAATCTGAGGTAAATAAAGAAAAGTTCTTGAGATTGCATTTTATGTTTCACGAGATAAGGACATAATTTATTAAAGATATGCGGTTTGAAATGGAACTACGAAGGAGATCAATTGGCAAGTGGTGGTAATGCCAACGAACTCTTTATCTGGAATAGCAGTAGTTGCAGTCCAACTCAAAGGCTTGATGGACATAGGGCTGCTGTTCGTGCACTTTCGTGGAGCCCACATACCCGAAATTTATTAGCTAGTGGAGGTGGTCATTTGGATCGACAAGTTCGCTTCTGGAACACTTTGAATGCGAAATGTTTGTCAATCCATAATGTTAAATCTCAGGTACTTTGCCCAGTTAAATAGCAGACTTTTACCATTGGTGGTTTTCTCGTTACCAAAGTTTTTGTAATTGTCAAATAAGGTATGCAACCTGCAATGGTCGCCAAACGCGAATGAAATAGTTTCTACTCACGGATGGTGGAACAACGATGTAGTGGTTTGGCAATATCCGTCGATGGAAAGACTTGCCACCCTAAAAGGTCATACTCTTCGTGTGCTTTATTTTTCTTTGTCTCCAAATGGTGAAGATATTGTCACGGGAGCGGGAGGAGAAGACAATACTTTGAGATTCTGGAAGGTTTTCAACACACCACCAAAGAATAAAAAGAAGGCCATTAATTCCGCTTTGAAACTGGACGGATTAATTCGTTAACTATTTCCTGCATGTTAAATTTACAAGTTTATTAAAGTCCTGTGTAAAATAACTTTTCTGTTAAGACGGGATGTTGCTCTTCGTAGTTCTATGTATACAGTAATTCGAATCTCTAGTGAAAAAAATCACGTTAATAACAAATTATCATTAGACCGTTCCGTTATATCTAACATATCTGTTTTGGACCTATCAAGATGGTTACGTTATATCAAAATTTACAAACAAGGAACAGCGGAAATATCCGAATCACAGAAAGTATCCATTGTCTTAGTTTTATACGCCTTTCACGTGTACAGTATAATAAGATCTACGCGCATGTAATATTAGTAATTTTGATTTCTGAATTTTTTTTTTTTTTTTTTTTTGATAACGTAGAAACAATGTTACAGGAACAAAATAATATAATAAAATTTATATAAAAATTTGTTTGTTTATATAAGAAGTTAAAAAATTAAAAAATTTTATATAGATATTACTTCATCTTATTATAATATTGAAGTCATTAGAAATATTTTAAGTTTGTGATCTCAAGAAAAGATCAGACGGAAACCCCCTAATTTTTTATATTTCTGGGCAAAATTATATACACGTAATATAGGAACAGTCCGGAAATCATTTTTAAAAAGATTTTTCAAGATTGAATCCCTATTATCTTTGATTTTTAAATCAAATTTAAATAATTTGATTATTAAATAATAATTCTAAAAATAAAATAATTATGTATATTATAATTTGGAATACGTGTGTAGTATAGTATGCCATTAATTTCAAAATAAAATTTCAAAATTTCATGGACTTAAATATATTTATTTAATACTGTATTTGTTATTTGTTAAATATTTTTTAAAAAAAAAAAAAAAAAAAAATTTTTTAATCAATCATTAAATTTTCTTTAAATACTACATTTAGTAAATAATAACAATAAATTATATAATTTACAATTATTTATTATCAGATAAAGTTTTTAAATAAGTACAGTATATGATGTTTATTTAATGATTAGTAATAAAGATAGAAAAATAACAATATTTGACGCAATTAATTTGAATCAATTGTATTGCGTAATTGATTTAATATT